CGACAGGGGAGGGGACGGGAGATGCTGGTGGCGTGGGGAGGAGAGGCACAGAGCAGTCTGCTGTCCAGAGTGACAGCCTGCATATGGGTAAACTACGAGATAATTAATTTTTAGGGGGAATAAAAGGAAGCAGAGCTCACTGCTGCTGTCCTCCCGTTCCAGCCCATGCACGTCTCACGCGGGTCTCTTTGCATCCTCAGCAAGAGATGATGATTCTGTATGAAGGCCTGGTTACCCTGTGCATTATGTACAGCTGTGAAGCCCTTTATCTGCTGATGGACCCCATTGTTGCTGGCTGGCGTTTGGCTCTCGTGTAAGTGAGCAATTTCAAAAAATAAAAAAATATATAAATAAAGAGAGTGTGTGGGACGTGCTCGCCGAGTTTACCGGCGTGAGCCAGCTGGAGGCTGCGGCACATGAAAGATGCACCGCAACAAACAAAGCCGCAGATCTGGGCAGGCGCGTTAACCCGGCCCAGCAGGGAGACAGCAGACAGAGGAAACCTTGAAGGTGGAACCACTTCAAACGGTGCAGAGAACCTCCCCGTGGGGGAGGGGGAGGCCGCCCGCACACTCTTCCAGTGCCTGAAGTCCCACCAGACAAAGTTGCAAGACTCAGGATGCGCTGGCAGCAGAGCCGCAGATGGCTGGGACAACTGAGCGCCCTGGGCTGCTGGCCACGTTACTAAGCAGCCATGGCCAGGGCAGCCACACTCTTGGGGACAGTGGTGTCACTGCATGAGGATCCATGGTGAGAGCCCAGTCTGCGCTCTGTGGGGCACACAGGTGTGCTTTACCACACACCCAGGACAAGTGAGTCCCCTTCCTGACCCATAACGGGCCTCGCCCCTGCCTGCATGGCTGGCTACTGGGTGATGTGGGCATGAGAGAGCCCCTTGCTCTGGGCCCACAGGAGCTAACGGGGATCCTTCTGCTGTCTGGAAAGTACCACATGGCCCAGCTGCCCGTCTGCCCTGGAGGGCGCCCCTTTTCGGGGCATACAGAGGCCAAAGAGCCCCAGCCACTCACTCGTGATTCTCGGTGGTGGGTTCTGGCTGGAGAAGCACCGAGTGCTCTCAGGCTACAGAGGCCTGAGGGACACCTGCACTGCACTGGTGTGCCACGAGGGGCGCCATCGCTGCTGACACCTGTCTGCCCATCCTGACAGCAACATGGGGCTCGGCACCTGGCCCAGAGGGGTCTCCTCATGTGCTACTTGGATGCAAGAAGTAAGGAGTGCATGGGAGAAGCCGAGGCCATGGTGCTCACAGCAGGTTGGCCCTGGGGAGGCTCTCATGAAGGTGTCCTCCCCGAACCTCCGTGTTCTATGCTCACTGTCACCACACAGTGCACTCTTGCTCAGTCAAGCATACTCTTTCTGTGATAAGCACTACCTGTGCTGACATGGTGCCTGACAGTCAGGTCTCAGGGCTCGGTAACCATATGGCTAAGAAGGAGGTATTTCCAAGTTCAAGACAAGCAAAGGAGACACCTGACCTGAGGCTGAACCTGCAGTGGAGGGAGGATGTCACATGTGACATCACGAGGTGGCAGACAAGGGGAACACCATGGCGTGGGACAGGAAAGCTCGTGAGGGTGTTACGCCAGTGAACGCCGATCCCGTGCCACGGTCACGTGAGGGAGTGCCACTGTGGGGTGTTTTGGGTGAAGGGCCATGGCTGTGTGTGCGTGGAGAAAGGGCGGCGGGCGTTAACAACAGGAGATCTGGGTGAGGGGCGTGTGGGGGTTCTTTGTATTGTTAGTTTTGCAACTTTTCTATGAGTTTAAAATTACTTCCAATAAATAATAATAATAATAATAATAATAATAATAATAATAATAAACCACTTGAAACAAATCATCTTCCGCCATCCTGACGTTTGAACATTAAAAAGTCAGTGCTTACCAGTCTGGGCTGCACTAAGTGAGAATTTATAACGTATCAGAAGGACTGTGCTTGGCAATTCCCTTTTTCAGAGACAGTACCAACACTTCTCAGCAGCACATTCACAATCCACATCAGAACCGGGCGGACTGCAGCCTTGTGCAGCATCAGAGGCCACCCTCCACCAACAGTCACCACGTACGTGGCAGCTTCCTCCTTTGCTTATTAGTAATCACAGTCCCCAACGAGGCCACAAGTTAGTTCCCGTTTCCTCTGAGACGTGTCACTGAATTTGACAGAAACGTGTTTTCTTCAGGACGGCCTGGGCCCCGCAGTTTTCATGCCTTCAGGCCTAACCCTGCCCTGGTCGCATTCTGCTCCTGCTGGTGGTGCTGATGGGGTCTCGGGAAGGCCCAGGCACGGAAGCGAGGGCCCTGATCTGCTCGGAGCTGAGGCCGCATCTCAGGAAGCAGAGAGCCCAGGTGGAAGGTTCCACGTAGGTCACTGCCCGTGTCCTGCTCCGTTCTCACTCTACAAAGTGCCGGGGTGGAGGGAGAGTGAAATGTATCTCTGAGGCCCCCATTTTTAAAGGATAGAGGAAGTATGACAAACACCACCAAGACACAAGAGGGAGGTGCCGCCACTCTATCCATGGGTGAGACCACAAGGCCCAGTTTCTGGGCTGCAGTCCTCATAGGTAACATGCTTGAGACTAAATGTCCTACTATACTGGAGGTGGGGTCAGGCAACAAGTGCCATGGCGGCGGGAGCTCCTTCAAGCAAGACCACAGGACAGAGAAGCAGCTCCCTGCAGCTGGCACTTAACCAGGGGTCCCTCCTGTGGTCCTGGTCACCCCGGGGGTTGTCTCTGCCTCGCTCAGCCTTACTGGCACAGAACCAAACACTAGGTCCAGATACACCATAATCCCACGTGTGGGACAACAGGCCCCCTGGTGTCTCTTCGCATGGAGTGGTCCTCAGCCTCCATTCGGCCATTGAAGCAGTTCCAGTCTGGTCTGTCACACTGTTCCCTTCATTGAGTTGGAAGCCTTGTTCTAGAACAGACTGTCACAAGCGCTAAATCTCCTTTCACATTTAGACAGTCAGGGTGCGTCTGTACGGGGCTCACTGTGCAGGGAGGAAGAGACCCCCGTTCCCCTACGCCCCCTCCAGCCTCCACGGCCCGTCAGGCCCCCAGGCCATGGCGCCCACGCCCCCAGAGCCCCCAGCCTGTGGAACGAGTGCTGCCTTCTCCCTGATTGTCAAGACGCTCCAGGCTGGGGCTGCCAGCTTTCTATTTTAAGCACCTTTCAGCGCACAACTGTCTATAGACTGAAACAATCAAAGATGGGAGAGGAGGAGCTGTCAGATGGCCCACTGCTTGTCACTGCAGGTGTGAAGTAGTTAAAATTGTATTGTGATTTAAAGAGGGAGATGCTCCCCACCCCCGTTCTGTCTGGCAGCACCTCTGCTACTTCCAGCAGAGCAGGCGCGCATGGAGGCCAAGCCATCAGATGACCGGCACCTAGCAGAGGCGGCACAGTCGCGGATGCTGCTGCCTGTGCCACTAGCGTCTGATGGACCCCCCCACCTCCACTGTTCCTCTCTCTGCTGGGTACCTCCTGATGGAGCAGTGCCCCTAAAACCCGCACCCTGGCTTGCACTCTCAGCTGGCTGTCCCTGACCAGGCATATAGGCTGAGCATCCGGCGGGGAAGCGGCCATCAAATACAGGGAGGGCTGGTGACTGACCTGGGGGTAAGCAGGAATCTACAAGGAGGCAGGGGGGCAGGGTGTGGTGCAGGGCACAGGCTGAGAGCCAGAGAAGAACCCCAAGGTGTGGGTGTGGCTGAAGGCTCTGGACCAGCAGGGGAGAGACAAGAGCCCAGGCAGACGGTGGTCAGGGAGTGACAGCAATGGCTCAGGACCCTCAGGGTGGCATGGAAGCTGCCCATAGGCTGCAGAGGAGCAAGGCCGTATCTGGAGGCCATCACATCTGGAAGGGGAGGCTGAGAGAGTAACAAACCAGCGAGGGCCCTCCATGTGGGTGGCTAGAAGGCTTTCTTGGGTAAATAGAATACCTACTTCTTGATGCCATTCTGAAAATTTTCATAAAATTACACTTAAAAGCACCCAAGTTCCACCTATCTGCTCGCAGAAAAAACGTTCAACAAAAATCCGCTCAATCCTCTCATTTCAGGCATGGAAACTGCGGCCCACAGCGGGTGGCCTGTCCTCAGGCCCTCCTAGCGCAGGTGAGTGCAGAGCAGGGAGACTCACCAGGGCAGCCGTGCTCATACAGCAGGAAAAGCTGGAATGAGGACTCACTACTCTCATCTTTTGAAACCTCGGGGTATCAGAAATCCAATCAGTCACACGTGATGTGTAATACGGACATCAGCCATAGAGAGAATAATTTCCTTTTAAATCAGAATTCCATTTCCTGCTAATCCCTAAACCTTTCTGTGATTCCCCTTCATTTATGATCAGCACATTTGTAGCTATTAAAATCTTCACTGACATAAGATAACAATGTTCTTTTCTTCTTCTTCACCCTTGCGAATTTTAGACTAATATAGAAACTAAGAGAAAGAGCTCCCAATGATTTCAGTAGAAGTGGGTAACCTTAATTCTAAGGGCATTGTGAATTGGCCTAAAGGGCTTCAGCTGGAGCGGCCACACCTGCCCTGGGAGCTTGCGTTGGCATCCACTCTGAGTGGGCGCCAGGGTGCTGCCAGCACAGAATTTTTAACCAGATCTCACCTACAACAACTTCTGTTTGAACTTGGGCTGTCCTCGTCCAAGGCTGTCATGACCCACCTCAAAGCAACCCCAATGGACGGAGCCTGGGGAGGAGCCAGGCAGAGCGCTGGAGGTCGGGGCACTGCTGGGCCGTGGTTGCCCTCTTAGACTGTCTACGCGGCGGGCAGTGCCTGGAAACACTGGTGGGCACCCTCGGTAAATGCCAGCCAGCATCTCCATTGTCCAGGAGGGCTGTCCCTGAGCAGTGGGGACTCTACTTCTAAAGCAGAGACCCTCAAGCTCGGTGACTGGCCTGCTGGGCAGTCATGACCGTGAGACACTCACATGTTGCCAGCTGAGAACAGAGTGACTCACCCTGGTGTCCTTCTCGTTTCCTTCTACATGGAGGACGTAGGGGCATCCCTCCTTCTGCGTGTTTTCTGTGACAATGCGCACCTCGACACCTGGCAGTGGGGTCCCCACAGAACCTGCCGGAAGAGAAGCATGAGACACAGGAGATGGGGTCAGAGGGGTTCCGAAGGTGAGGATCACATGCCTGAGGTGTTCAGATTCCACCTGTGGTCCTGGTCATGCACAGAGGGGAGAAGACCCGAGCACCAGGAGCACGGGGCCTCACGCGGAGCAGCGGGTGCCCACCAGCTGCAGAAGCAGCAGTGGGCGCCACCAGTGTGTGAGGCCTGGCTCCTAATGCTCCAGACAGCCTTCAGGTCATCTCGGGAAGGCCTTCCGGCACCCAGGGCAGGACGCTGCGACGGCTTCCACTTGTGCCCCAGCACCTGGCTCGGTAATAACGGCACTGAAGTACTCCTGTCCAGAGAAGTCCCAAGAGGCACTGATGCAGGAAGATGGACAGTGAGCAGGGATCCTCATGCCAAGGGGATAATATCACTGGCATTCTGGTTCACTTATTAGATACCCATGGTTTGTTCAGTGTCTTCATCTCACCTGAAGCCTCCAGCGTGGTCAGCCAGCTTACAATCAAACTCTGAATCTATAAAGGTAAGGCAGGTGGCCAGGACGTGTCCCACCGCCACTGTAATAAATGACTAAGGCGGGACAGAGATTCCAAGATCAAATGCTCAGCATCTATGAGAATTCACTTCCAGGTTTCAGGCCCTTTATTTTTACTGCTGGAATCAATGAGGATTTGTCAGAGGATAAATGTCCCAGGCAGCCGGGTCAGCAAACTCTCTGAAATCACTCAGTGTCCTTGATTCAAGCCCTTCGCAAGTCTGTTATGTCAGTCTCGTTTTGCTACAGCAGTGCTGACCTGAGGTCCTAGGGGGCAAGGCCTGGGCCCCATCACCCTGGTGAGCTCTCAGCTGTTCCATGTCCTGGAGGCCTTGCTCCTCAACTCTGGTCAGAAATCTGTGTCCCTGTCCAGGCAGCAAGCAGACAGACCAGCATCCTCCCATTTCTTTATTTTAAAAATTACTGAAATCTATATAAGATACAATTGATCCTTATAAAGTGGCAATTTGGTGGCATTTAGCACATTCACAGTTGTGCCATCATCACCACCATCTAGTTACAGAACTTGTCATCACCCCAGAAGGCAGCCTGTGCCCATCAGCAGTCACTCCCCACCCCCTGCACCCCAGCAACCACTAATCCAATGTCTGTCTCTACAGCTTTGCCTGCTCTGAACATTTCATATAAAAAAGAATCGTATGACATATGTCCTCCCATCTCTCCTTGGTGGCATATCTACTTGGAACCGTGGCCACACAGGCTCCAGGACACTCAGGACGTGAGACAGCCTGGAAGCAGGGGCATTTCATCTCCAGTGTGGAGACAAGACATGGGGACCAGAGACAAGAGCCAGCCTGTGAATGTGGGGACGGATCCAAGCCCAGCTCGCTCTGATCTTGAAAGCCTTGGCCTGACCCTGGGCGCAGTCAAGACCAACTGCCATTCTGCACACTTTAAATTCAGTTTCCAGTTGACCTCAAGGGCATTATCTGCTCTAGATTAAATGACCCCTTTCTCTGTGGATCTCTGTTTCCACTGACAAGTTGAACTCCTATCATCTGCACTGCTCCCTCCTGGACCTCATGGTCTGATGAGGACTGACAGATACACCAGCGGAGTGGCTCAGGCGGGGCCATAGCCCTGGCTGCTGGGATGCCCACCAAAGCTGGGGGTCCAAGTTCTCCAGATGCTCCCAACTGCTTGTGTTTTACGGTCAAACTTCAGTAGGCTGACCTTGGCTTCAGCCCTTACTAACTGAAATGTTGGTCATCATTTACAATAAGTGTGTGTGTGTGTGTGTGTGTGTGTGTGTGTGTGTGTGTGTGTGTGTGTAAAAGCCACGGGACAAAGGGCTTACGGAGGAATTGGGCAGATAATGTGCAGAAGAGAAAGGCCGTGTGTGAAAGGCAGGGCTGAAGCCACACAGGAGGACGCTCAGACAGGCCACGTTGGCCAGGTGCCCCTGGCACTGCCACAGGCCCTGTGGAGCTGAAAACGCTCCCATAATCTGTATTAATAAGATGTTTCTTGCTGCTTGAACAAGGGTGATGCAGTGCTGGGCAGGGTGATTAGCCTGAATAATGAGAAAACATCAAATACTGGAAATTGATTTATTACCCTCGGAGACTGGTCAGATATGATTTCTTCAAGTACCTGCCAGAGATAAAGAGTTCCATGAACACACCTTAAACAATCAGGCAGAATGTGATTACTGCATCAGGAGGCACTTCATCAACTTAAGTACAGAATCTTAAGCAGGACCAACCACCTCACTCAGAAATAAAAGCCTGCTTGATCCTTTTCCCTTCCTTCAGAGGAACTGTCTTAGCAGCAGGGTGATGCCCACTCAGGCCTGACTGAGCGCTCTCAGACAGCGCCGCCTCCTCAAGTGTGAGCCCTGCGCTCACCGCCCCAGGAGGAAGGACGCTGAGACTCCTTCCAGGCCCGGGGACCACAGGGGGATGCTTGTGGACAAGGGAGCCCTCCTGGGTCTGCCCACAGGGCAGGGGAGGCACATGGCCACCCCATGCTGCGCCTGGTCAATTGCAGTAGCTATGGGAGGCACCTGTGGAGAAGGTTAAGGGCTTGGTCCCACCTTCAGTGGGTTACTTCAGTGACTGCCAGTTACAAGTGGTGTTGCCCACAGCTTGTGTCTGACGTGGTTACAAATCAGGGGTTACCACAATCCCCTCCAGGGGTTCAATAATTTGCTAGGGCAGCTCATGGAACCCAGGAAAACAGTTTACTTACTAGAAGGCCAGTTTGTTATAAAGGATTCAACCTCAAAAAAAAAACAGATGGAAGAATGCCTACGGCAGGTATGGGGGAAGGAGCTCCGAGCTTTCATGCTTCCCAGGCGAGCCACCCTCCCAGCACCTCCACGTATTCACCAGAGGTGGCATAATGGTATGCAGCAGGAACCACTGATTAAATCACTGACCACTGGTGATGAATTCCACCTCCAGCCCTTCTCCTCTCCCAGGTGGTCAGGGTGGGGCTCAATTCTAACCCTTCAATCACCTAGTTTCATTCCCCTGACAACCAGCCCCCATCCTTAGGGGTTTTCCAAAAGTTATCTCATTAACACAAACTCAGGTGTGGTGGCAAGGGACTTGTTATGACCTAGGAAATTCCAAGGGTTTTAGGAGCTCTGTGCCAGAAATGGGGACAAAGATCAAAGATATGTTTCTTAACAGAGAGGGACCTATGACCTTCCTTCTCAAAACGCCCGCTTCCCTACCACTGCACTCCACCTTTCACCTTTCAATCCACTCATTTCTCTTTCGAATATTTTTTTTTTAAAGGAAGAAACCTCCCTCCACACTCTCTTCCTGCTCCTCTCTGCTCAGTTCAGTAAGGCCTCTTCTGCCCTCTCCAAGTAAAAGTTACTAACTGTTAAGAAGATCTATAATGAAAGTGCTGACAGAATCTTCATTAATCATGGCATCACAAACACAACAATAAATTCTCAAAGCAGAGACAATAACTTGAGTTTTACAGCCCTGTTGATGGCGTTAAAGTGAGGTCCACGCAGATAAGAGACTGAAGCAGGTGGTGGGGCAGCCACAAAGCCCCAGAAACCCCCCACCCCACCCCACCCCACCCCATTCCCAAGCTGGTCCTGGCAGTGCAGGATCAACTGGGTAGGGGCCACCCTCCTAGCACCGCGGGGACAGCGCCCCCTCCTAGAGCCAGCCTCCTAGCGTCCATCTGGGCAGCAGCACTGGCCGCAGTCAGAGGCGGCGTGTCATTCTTCCACCTCTAAAACAGTTGTCAGCTCTTCCCAGATAACTTTAATTGGCCTGCAGCTCTGTCCAGCATCTGGGGAGCGAGGCTGCTCTGCAGCTGGTCCCAAGAGAATGGAAACAGGCCGATAAGGTCCTGGAGCTCCTGTCAATGCTCCACGGAGTCCCACTGCAGGAGCCATTAGCGCCACTGATCTCAACCTCCAATTAGATCGTCATTAGGTCCAGCAGCGCTCAGCCATGAATTATTCATCTCCCTTCACTGTAACCGCAAGGGACACAGGGAATGAACAATCGGATTCAACCCAGAGCTTAACACACAGCAAACATCTACCTTCACGCAGTGAGTCTCTCTTTTGAGACTGACCCTGCCCTTCTGTGCACCCCCCTCAGGTTTTCAGAACCTTTAAATGGATCCTGGTGGTTGTTAGGGTTACCATAGGAGCAATGTTCAGAGGCTGTGCAGGCAGCAGGAAGGAAGGGGACTCCAGAAACGACCCCCACAAGGCCAGGAAGGGTGGTATGGCTGTGTCCCCAGTGAGAAGGGGTCACAGGCTGGGGCTCCAACACGAGTCCACAGCCTCCGGCTGAAATTAATCCAGGGAAGGGGCACGAGGGCTGCTTCTGCAGAAGAGGGAACTAGGAGGTTGAATTCCAAGCCAGCTTCCTACGTGCTCCAAGACACAGATCTCAGGCAGACGTAAATCAACGACACAGCAATCTCTCTGGAAGACTTGAGATTCCACTAGGACCATCCCTGCAGCTAAGCCCACGGCAAATGAAACACAGGTTGTGCTTTACACGAGTTAAAAACCAGCCTGCACCTATTCTTCTTGCATCTCACTGAAGTTCAAGATAAACTCACCATTGTTCTTCTATCTTCCTTTCCCCCCATACCAGTGAACTTTCCATGGAAGAAGAAAACACGTATAAACTCTAGCCTGGGGGATAGAAGGGGTCTCTCTTCCACTAGCGATTAGAGACCGCCACTCTGCCTATGGATGGCCTTTGTTTCCTTACTTACTCTCTGCTAAATATGCTTACTTTTCCTTTAAACTCTATATAGGCTCATGTTTGAATTCTTTCCAATGTGGAGCTAAGGACCCCTTTTTCTCTGTAACAAAAATGAGACCCAGCCCAGGAGTCGAGGTGCAAGACCTAAAGGTGCAAAAAACCCCTCCTCAACCTGATTTCTCCAGAAATGATGCTCAGAGATTGTATTTTAGGGATTTTCATGTAGCACTCTTGAATTTCATGTTGAGGGTTCCTTTGTTTACTTTTTTTCCAAACCAAAGAACTGGCACTGCACTCAACTCTTACAGGCAAGCTTTACAGACAAGAAAAAAAATCACAGATATCTGATTCCAGTGCACAGAGGAGAAACTACACCCAGTCCGCGTCCTGAGGTTCTACACACTATCTGTGAGGCCTGAATAAGAGCTGTTGCTATAATTTAAGATTCAGGAATTTCTGCCCAATAAACCTTGGGATTCGGGGTCTTTGGGTTCTGTCCACTCAGAGGGAACTAGAGAAGGCCAGGCCAGTCAGGGACCCTCTAGGTGTACCCCTCTCCAGGGTGGCTGCTTCCCCACCATCCTACGGTGAGCCCCTAGCTGGGCCTCCGGGCCTCTGGCCTGTACTTTAACTGCCTGCCTGCAGATAGTCCCCGAGTCTCCTTCCTGCAAGATGGTCCCTGCACTGCCCTTTGCTCGCTCCATCCTGTTCTGGCTCCTGGTCTTGGCTTCTCAGCCTTGTGTTTGATCTTGTTATTAAAGCCAGAAGGTTTCCTGTCCATTTTTTTTTGCCCCCTCTCTCCTCCTTCAAATGGGGCTATCTGCTGTGCCTCTGTGCTCCACCAACGTGGGCATCCTTGCCTGATGGTGTGAACGTCTGCTCAATCATAGACCCGCTCCGTGGCCTTGGGCAGGTCACATGATTTCTTGAAACCTGTCTTGTTCATCAGTAGGTAAGGTCACCCCTATATAAGGGGCTGTGCTGAAGAGAGTTTGGCACTTCTTAGAAAATTGAGTACAGACCACCTTCTAACCCAACAATCCCACTCCGAGGTGTTTATCCAGGAGACGTAAAGACAGATAGATGCTCACATAAAAACCTGCACACCCACGTTTATAACAACTCTGCTGGTAACTGTCCAGAGCTAGACACTACCCAACATCCTTCGGCTGGTGAACAGGTAAAAAAAACAGCGGCCTGTCCACACCACGAATCCTATGTGGCAATGGAAAGAGATACGTGATGACACGGATGGCCTCATACGTGTCCTGCTAAATGAGAGAAGCCAGCCTCAAAAGGTTATGTCCTATAGGATTCATTTATATTACGTTCTTTTTTTTTTTTTTTCTAATTGGGGAATTGGGGGAGGGGAACAGTTTTGGGAACAGCCAAGTTGTTGTTCTTCAGTCTTTGTTGTGGAGGGCGCCAGTCACCATCTGGCTTCCTGTTGGCAGCACGTGGCCTCTAAGCTCAAGGTGCTGGGTTCAATCTTAGTTGCAGGTGGGCATAGCCACCATCCCATGTGGGAGTCGAACCAGCAGACTTGTTGTTAAAGAGTGCGTGCTCTATCCATTGAGCCATCCGGGCAGCAGCTCAGCTCAAGGTGCCAAGTTCAGTCTTAGTTGCTGGAGGGTGTAGCCCACCATCGAACAGGCNAAGGACAGCAACTTGTCTGTTCCCCTTCCCCCAATTCCCCAGCACTGTTCCCATCCCCCCAATTCCCCAATAAAAATCTTAAAAAATAAAAAAAGTAAAACGACAAACCAGAGACTGGGGGAAGAAATTCACAATACAGATTTTCTGACCAAGGTCTTTTATTCTGAATATATAAAGAAAGCCTACAGATTAATAATAAAAAGACAAACAATCCAATTTAAAAATGGACAAAAGACTTGAAGAGGCATTTCATAGAAGGGCATCTTTGAATGACCAATAAGCATATGAAAAAGTGCTCAACATCATTATTCATTAGAGACATGCAAATTTTAACAGGGAGGCAGAGTTACACATCTACCAGGATGACTGAAATTTTAAAACCTGACATCACCCCCTGTTGGCTAGGGCACGGAGCACTGCTGCTGTCGCCCTGCTGACAGGAGCACAGAATGTACAACCGCTTTGGAAATGGCTTGGTAGTTTCTTCTAAAGTTACATGCAGGGCCCTACGACCCAGTAATTCTATCCCTGGGTATTTGCCCCAAATAAATGAAAACATACATGTGCAAAAAAGACTGACATGAGAATGTTCCCGGCAGCTTTATTTATAAAGCCAAACACAGAAACTGCCCAAATGTCCATCAACAGGAGAAGGAATGAACAACAGTGGGAACCTTGGTGATAAAAAGGAACTAAGCACTGACACATGCAATATGGATAAATCTCAAAGAAATATTATGCTCCACAAAAGAAGCGAGACACAGAAGAGTACAAATGCTATGGTCCATTATACGCAAAGTTCAAGAGCAGGCACACTAATTTACAGCAGTAAAAATCAGGAGGGGCGGCTGCCGCTAGCAGGGTGACTGGGAGGAGGCATGGGGGAACCTCTGGCGTGTGGGGATGTTCTATATCCCGACCTGAGCATGCGTTACACAGGTGTATCCATCAAAACCTACTAAACCACACACTTAGATCTGTACATTTCACTTCATGCGCACTACACCTCAGTAAAAGGAAATGAAAACACACCCACCTGAGTGGCTAGAACGGACAAGGCTGACAATACTACGTGTGGGTAGGATGTGGAGTAATGAGAGTGCTCTGACAGTGCTAGTAAAAGTATAAACCGTGCAACTACTTTGGAGAAACTTTTGGCTGTTCAACCAAATATACGCCAAGCCCAGCTAGTATCTAGCAGTGTAGGCGTAGATCCAACAGAAACGTCTACAGCAGCGGTTCTCAACTTGTGGGTCATGACCCCTTTGGGGGTCGAACGACCCTTCCACAGGGGTCGCCGGGTACTCGTATGCGGGCGTATTTGAATGTGGGCCTGGAGACGGATAGAGGAGTGGTGTCTCGGTTCCTAAGACCATCGAAAATATGTGTTTCCCGATGGTCTTAGGCGACCCCTGTGAAAGGTTGAGAACCGCTGGTCTACAGGAAGATCTGCATGAGAACGCTTATAGCAGCTTTATTTCTTTTTTCTTTTTTTTTTTTTTAAGATTTTTTATTGGGGAATTGGGGGGATGGGAACAGTGCTGGGGAATTGGGGAAAGGGGAANTCGGCTGGCCCCTATGTGACACTCTTGAAAGAGCACAATTACAGGAAAAGAAAAACAGGTAAGTACCGACCTGGCCCTGGGATGGAAGAGGTGCTGACCACACAAAAAGGGAAAGGTTTTGAGGCAATGCAACCCTTCTATGTCTGGAGTGTGATGGGAGCTCCCCAACTGCTCACAGAACTGAATGTGAGAAGGGTAAATTTCACTGTATGGGAAAGATAAGTGGATGTACAGCTATCATTGTAAAGGTAGGATTGCTTTACTTTTACTTCTAAAGAGATATTGCTTGCGTTTTGGACATAATGGAGAGGAGTTCTCATGAGGACTAGAAGAGGGCCAAGAACAGAACAGAATACAATACAACACAACTCAACCCCATCTCGGGCCTTGGGCTCTGCTTGCAGATTCCCTGTTAAGGACCCAGGAGGTGAAGGCCTGTTTAAATACAAGTCAGAGTGGAACATCTTAGAGAAGGCTGGACAGGGAGACCAAAGGACAAAAACCTGTCTAGAGCAGCGGACCATCCAGACGTATGCAGGTCACTGAGCACAGGCACTGGATTTTCTCCCCCCTCCCCCCCACACCTGTCATCTCTCCTGCTGCCACTGGCCTTGTGTGGCTCCGGGCACCTGGATGGGAGGCTCTAGCCAGCAGCCGATTTGGCCAGCAGCCCATTTGGCCAGCACCCGGAGAAGGTTCTCCTGGCCCAGCAGGGTAGCATCCTCCACAGACTGGCCCACCTGAGGGGCGCAGAGCAGTGGGGAGGCCACAGCTGGAGGGCAGTGCGCATACCTGGCAGGCGAGCTGCGGGGGTCAGCGGGTTGGACAGAGCCATGCCGATCTCGGTCATCCCGTACCTCTCCAGAAGAGTGTGGCCTGTGATGTTCTTCCACTTCTCCAGCACAGGCAGGGGCAGGGCGGCTGATCCCGAAACCATCAACCTACCCGGCAAATCGGAGGCAACCTTAGCTTCTGCAATGATGCTATTCTTCAGTGCAATAAAAAACAATGTAATACATTCTTCACTCCACACCACTATTTTAAAATTCATGATTCAAACTGTAGTTGGGACTAAAATTTAACTTTGTTCTTTGAAAAGAATTTGTTGGGTATATTTTAGGATGCAAACAGGTCTTTAAAAGGAATGAGTAATCAAGGTAAAAAAAAATAATTTTAGGGTCTTTGGTGGCATTCTTTGCAAATAATTAACATGCTGTTCACAACAACCCTAAATAACAGCAATAAGAAGATGATTACAATAGAATTTAGTTCATGGATAAAATGCTACCAGGTCTGAGGAGTAGGATTAGCAGACGAGAGGAGACAGCCCACAGCTGAGGGACATACGCAGTTTTATGCTAACAAGCTCACAATGGTGACAATGACATTTATGTAACATCTGAGAGCTTCTAACTGCTCTGGCGTACACCATGTCACTTAAGCATATGTGTAGAAAGGAAGAAGCTTTGGGTTCTAGCTCTAGCTGAAGAAGTAACAATCACTGTTTCTTTACAAGGGTGCACACCTCACAAGGACCTGCCTTGCCACGAGCCAAAATTCGTGAGGTCTCAGGACCTCTGTCACCCAGGAATCCAGGAAACCCTGATTTCTCCCTCTATTTGGTATCATTCCTGCCCAGGGTTCTGTAGGGTTGGGTAGAATGTGCTCCTAATCCTATTTTCATATTGGTGGCTGAGAACGAGACACCTCCATCAACAGCTGCCCAGCCCCACAATGCCATGTGAGAGGGTGGGCTGGTAGGTGGCGGGCGGCAAGCAACATCAGACAAGGGCTGTAGTTCCATCAAAACATCTTTACAGAAGAGGAGCAAAGAAATGGTGGGAGCAAAATCATAACAACACCAAATATTGGTCTTGGGTAATCCAGAATTCTCCCTGGGAAACACAGTGCCCTTCCTGTGTTCTCCCGAAGGAGTAGGAACCAGAGGCATGGAGCGACACGGAGGCCACAGGGACACACACACAAATACATTTAGAATTTTAAATTCATGTTTGTGTAGCAGCTCACTCACCGCGGTGTTAAAGAGTTGTGCTTTCCACAGGCATAGCTCCTTGTGTCTCTCTGGTGACACGTGTCTGTTGGGCCTGTGAAACTCACCAAGCTACCCACCTTAGGTGTGAGCGCTAAAGGTCACACTTCAGGAACAAGCAGGGAAAGGAGCCTGCCATGTCTACAGGTTCCTGCGAGAGTGCAGAACACACTGCACACCACTGAAGGACCCCAAAGACTCCGGCGTGCCTCTGTCAAGGGGGCTGTGATAGGGCCCCCAGCAGGGAGGACTCCAAGAGGGAGGACTGTGGAGGAGAGAAATGATACAGAGGGGGCAAGGGGGGCACATAGATGTGGGGTCAGAAAGGACGGGATGGAGACGGTCAGTCCTTCACTGTCCTTACCTTCATCCTCAGACTCTGCCATAGACAGACAAGACAGAGAGACTACAGACAGAGATATACATGTAGATAGCTCTAGAGCGGGACAGGACAGAGACACAGACATAAAATACAGACAGATCTACAGAAGATGCAGATATAAATATGTAGATGTATATTTTAAAGGAAATGGAAAACACTGCTTCCTAAAACTTAGCAGCACTGATTTATTGGAAATAACTTCTGTTTGCTGATCTTGAAGACTTTCTGAATGGGAAGATGGACTGTTTTCATTTACCTGATCTTTTCTTCACACACTGCACGCACGAAATCCTGGACATGAGGCTGGGTGAAATGCTTGTCATAATAATCCATCAACTTGGTGTATATTGTAGGCACTGCCATAAATACATTTATTTGTGGAGTTTCAGAACTTAAGAACTTTTCCCAAACCTAAAAAGAAAAAAAGCACAGAGCAAAAAGATGAGAAAACACACACACATGTACGGAGGCCTCCGGTTCCAGGAACAGTGTCCTTCAGGGAAGCCACTCCTTTTTGGAAGTATCAAAGGGTCCATGAGCTGCTCCCACCTAAAAGGGCATCTTGCTTTCAGAGGGTGACAACACCTCTGGCCATTCCCATGGAAGCTGCCCTGTGTCGGGAGACATCTGTGTCCAGGCTTAGGGGTGACCTGTGAGGAGAGAGAGGGTCCAGAAAGAAGTGCATGGACACAGTTCCAGCCTTGGATCTGCCATCAGAGGAGATGCTGGCACCTCAGGCTCTTCCAAGTGGCACCAGTGAGCCTGAGAGTCAGCACAGTGACTGGCACAGAGGGGCACGCAGCAGATGGTGAACAGATGACGTCTTCTGTTTATTGGAAAAAGTCAAGCAAGTTTTGTATTTTGCTCTGTAACAGATGTTTCTAGTTTTAATATAAAGATGTTTCAAGTTTCTCACCAGTTAAAGTGCTCATGTGTTATTGCTAATCTTCAGAAAAAGCTGGTATGTTATGCTCATTCTGTGGTTCTCTTCACAGCAGCATCGCTGTGTAAGTAAGCTGGTGGCCAGGATGAAGAGCGCACAGCTCACAGCGCAGGGTGCCCAGTACACTGAATGCAGACAGAGCTTGTCCCTAAAGCATTTGAAACTGGAAAAATGGAAACTAAGGCTATGATCCAACCTAACCCACCCCAATTTCTAATTGGATGGTAGCAATTAGCTCCTTACCTTAGCTGCTAGACAGAGGAAAGGATGCCTCTCCAGGAAAAAAATAATATTCTTTTAAAGACAATGACTGGCATCCCCCTCAAACTACAAAGCATGTAAGGAAATAGAAAAACGTGGCCCAGATTAAGAGGAAAAAAAAAAAGTCAACAGGAGCAGACCCTAAGAAGATCCAGACGTTGGAATTTTCAGACAAGAAATCTAAAATAATTACAATAAACAGACTAAGGAATTCAGAAGAAAAGATGAACAAAATGAGGGAAAATCAAGGATTTCATCAGAGAAGTGGAATTGCAAAAAGAACCATTACAATACTGGAAAATATACTACCTGAAATGAAGATAATATATTGGATAGACTTAACAGACTAGATGCAGCAGAAGAAAAGATAAAAGAAGTGAAAAACAAGTCAATGGAAATAATCTAAACTGAAGTCCAGACAGGAAAGAAAAGAAAAAAGAGTAGAGTGAGAGCAATGTGTCGGCCACATGAAACAATCTAACAGGCTCTAACTGGTGTCTTAGAAAAGGAAAAGAGAGGGAGCTAAGTAAATGGAGAGATACTCCATGTCCATGTATTTATGGGAAGACTCAATATTGCTAAGATGGCAAGTCTCTCCAAACTGAGCTACAGCTTCATAGCATTCCTGCCGCCCAAACCCCAGCAAGCTCTGTTTTGCAGAAATTGACAAGCTGAACCTACAATTTACATGGAAAGACAAAGGGCCCAAAGGAGACAAAAGAAACATGAAACGTAAGAATAAAGATGAAGGACTCATACCTCCCACTCCAAAACTTACTCTAAAGCAAAAGTGATCAACGCAGTGTGGACACAGAGATCAATGGAACAGATGAGGGTCCAGAAATAAGCCAATTGATTTTTGACAAAGGAGCCAAGTTATTTCAAGGGAAGAAAGAATAATCTTTTCAACAAACGGCTGAGACAAGCGAAATCAGCATACAAAAAGATTAATTTTAGACCTTGACCTCACCATACACAAAAAGTAACCCAAAGTGGGTCAGAGACCTAAATGTATGGCCTAAAACTATAAAACTTCTAGGGAAAAAAACACAGGAGAAAATCTTCATGACCTTTGGTTAGGCTAATTTTCTTAGATATGATACCAAAAGCACGATCTATGAAATTTAAGAAATTTATAAAATTTGATTTCATCGAAGTTAAATATATGTGTCTTTCAAAAGATACCATTAAGACAATGAAAAGACAAGCCAGACTAGGAGAAAATATTTGCAAACCATAAATCTGATAAAGGACTTGTGTCCAGAATCTATTAAGAAGCTGTAAAATTAACAATAAGAAGACAAATAACCCAATTTAAAATGGGTCAAAGAGCTGAATAGACAGTTCACCAAAGTAGATCTATGGATGCAAATAAGACCAGGAAAAATGCTCAACATCATTAGTCATTAGGGAAATGCAAATTAAAACCACGAGATACTTCATATCCACTATAATAATAATTTACAAAACAAATAAACAAGTGTTGGTGAGGATGTGGAAAAACTATATCTCTTATACACTGCTGGCGACAATGTAACAATACAGCACTTTGGAAAACTGTTTGGCAGTTTCTTAAAACATTAAACATAAACTTACCACACAACCCAGAAACTCTATTCCTACACATCTACTTAAGGTAAATGAAAATATGTCCACACAAGGATTTGTAAGCAAATGTTCATGGCGGCGATAGTCTTTTTTTTTTTTTTTTTTTTAGCTGAGCCATCCTGCTACCTGTTGGCAGCTCAGC